ATTAGTCCAGGTTATAGTAATGTAATTGATGAGTTATGCATGCGTGCGCAAGTTCCACTATATTCTCCTAGAGATTAAGCTTGAGCAGGGACTAGTAACCGCCTTAGACTCGAGACGAAAAGATCCCCAGGACTATGCGGACATGACTCAAATGCTCGAGAAGTAAGTTGAATCGATCATTATCCACCATATCAGCAACTTTGTTCATTTCCTGATATCAAGTAATTATTTTCTTTGTCTGGCAGGGTTTGGAGAAAATTCATCAAAAAAGCTCCAGAACTGCCGAAGAAGCTGCAATTTAGACACCCGAAAGTAAGTACGATAGTAACATGTTCCACGCATCTCCTAGTGATTCAAGCGCTAGTTTCATCAATACCATTTGGCATGCTTGCTTATTAGTTTGATTGACCTCTATTTCTTGTAAAGTGGTTGTGGCAGGAACAAGAGAATGATTTCTGTGGATACTACGTTTGCGAGTTCATCCGCCACACGACCTGTGAACGGGGCTACTCTGATGAACAATATGAAGTGTGTAAGCAATAATATTCACAATTTTATTTTATTACCATCATTTGTGTTGAGTTTCATTTATTCATATATATATATAATATATACATATATATATATATATATATATATATATATTGACTCCCTTGTTCAAATTAGATGTTTCGGATGCGGGATGAACTCCTAGCACCAGATCGTATGTGAGCAATTCAAGAGGAATTGGCGGCATTCTTCCTCGACCACATAATCACTGAAGACAGAGAATACTATGTGGACCCTGTGTTCATATATAATTAGGACATTAATTACATTGTAAGAGATAATTATTGTATATATGTAGCCGGTAGTGTCGGATAGATATATGACAACTTGTTGTTCGACCAATCTCTCGGAGAAGGAGAGGTGGTCGATATCACTTCTCTCTGTATGCATATGTTCATGACGATCTTCTGTTTTCTTCATTTGCTTACTAGCTAGCGTGTCTAGTCCTCTCTATATATACGTATATATAGCATCGATCAAGCACGGACATAAGGGAGGACACTTCTCTCTATTAATTAGCTAGCTAACACAATATATGAAACACCTAAATTAAACCCCCAAAACCCCCAACCCCCCTCCCCCTTCAAAAAAAAAACAAAAACCTCAGCCCCTGAAATGCTGACGCGTGGATGCCTATTGGTCCCGGTTGGTTGCACCAACCGGGACCAAAGGCCCTCCTGTCTGGGCTCGGCGCATCGGCCACATGGAGGCCCATCAGTCCCGGTTCGTGTAAGAACCCGAACTAAAGGGTTGGGGCATTAGTAACGACCCTTTAGTCCCGGTTCACAAACCGGGACAAAAGGCCCTTACCAACCGGGACGGATCGGGTTTTTTCTACTAGTGAATGCTATGCTGCTTTGTATCATGCATGGCAATAAATAAAGTACTACATGATACTAATATATGATACTATGCATTAGGGAGGTAGTATAATGCACTAGTATCATATGCATGATACTAGTATATGATACTCTCCATTACAACCAGACTTACTACCCACTGTGGAGGTAGTAATATAGACTAGTAACATATGCATGTTACTGCTTTAAGTTACTTTCCATTGTGACTAGTTTAAGAATAGACATCGCAACCTAGGCGCGTGCAAATTGGTCTATACGAAAAACAGTAGTTAATCCCTCCCACCAATAAATAAAATGTATTGCACCAGTGCATGGAGGTTTTCTTGTTGGATGATTGGACCATGCAGGCATGCGTGATTAATATCCTGGGAAGCGGACGGACACCTCCACCAGTGCATGGCGGGAAGTAGTTTCAACTTAATTAATCACGGGTATTAAGTCCCTCGCCATTGGTGGTGACGAGGATGTCACCGGAGAGTACTTCCAATCCTTCCAGCGCTTTGCCAGGATGTCGCCGAGCGGGATCGACGACAGTCATCAGCATAAACAAGTTTCATGATTTTAGTTTAAATTTTTAAAACGACCAAAGGAAATAATACGTAATTAGAAAAACAAAATCTACAAAATTGGTCAGGAATCAATTCCGGGACAATTGCGATAAAATGAACTGAAAAAATAGCCAGAGGTGTAGAAAAATCCAAATGTTCACCTCTAGAAAAATCCCGGCCGCGCACCGCGTCTTGGATCTCTGTCAGCCGACCCATGCACCGTATGTGGTCGAGTCTTGGCGTGTGCACGTCACGACCGACAGACCGACCGACCGGCCGCTAGCTGTACGTCGAGCATTCTCGAACCGAACCGCTAGCATGCATGCATTCCTTGGTCAATCGCCGTCATCATCAATAAAAAATAATATGTACATGAGTATCATTAATCAGATATCTTATTTTGATTGTTCCATATCTTAATTAAGTAGCGGTTTATAGCAACCGATTGGGTTTTACAACAAAAGAGACTCAAAACGGTCAGCGTAGGCTTAGCAACTTAGGATTATTATCTCTCTAATCAGAAAATGGTCTTAATTTCACAAATACTTGGCTGCAAAATCTGCAATGTTTTTGTCAGAGCTCCCTCCTTCCTGCATAGCCTCTTTGGCCTTCTGCATCCACTTAGAGCATTCCTCATATACTCCTTCCCACCCATCACTTCCTTGATGCACCTCTCCACCTCTTCCCTTCTCACCAAGCCTTTCTCGTCTCGGCACGCACGCAGGCCGATCCCCCACACGCTCTCCACATACTTTGCGGTGGTTGGTTGGTCCGCCCATTGCGGTATTGCGATCATGGGTACATCGGTGGCAATTGCTTCAGTTGTCGAGTTCCATCCACAATGCGTCAAGAAACAACCTGCATCATCACCACAATGGTTTGCATTCTTAGCTTTTATTCATTGTCAAAATCCACTAAGAATTGTTAGCCTTATTATTGTATGCTCAGAAATTTGGGTTCATTTCATACCTGTTGCTCAAATGTTGCCGCTACTCCATGCTCAGGCACAACATTCTCACCCTGAAACTGAAAGCCTTGATCGTATAGACGTTTCGGGCGCTCGTCTTCTACGATCATATTGTGCATGATCACACAAGCAGTCATCACCTCCCATAGTTTTTGCGTACTCCAAGTATTAGCAGGATACCGAACGATGCCCCATCGAGATTGCAAAACACCAAAGGCACGCTCGACATCCTTTCTAGCACTCTCTTGCTTTTGGAAAATCTTTTCCTTTTCTCTCCAACAGGGTTGGGTATTGTCTTTACAATAGTGGTCCACTGAGGATAGATATCGTCACCCAAATAGTATCCTTTGTCGTAGTTGTGGCCATTGACAGTAAAGTTCACCGGTGGGTTGTTGCCTTCGGCAAGCCTAGCAAACACCGGCGAGCGCTGAAGCACGTTGATATCATTGTGTGATCCAGCCGTGCTAAAGAAAGAGTGCCAGATCCAGAGATCTTGAGACGCCACGGCCTCTAGTATGACAGTGCAAGCCCTGACATGTCCCTTATACTGCCCTTGCCAAGCAGAAGGGCAGTTCTTCCATTCCCAGTGCATGCAGTCTATGCTGCCAAGAATCCCCGGGAAGCCCTTGCTAGCATTCATCGCCAACAAACGGGCTGTATCTGCAACTGTCGGCTCTCTCAAGTACTCACGGCCAAACACAGCAATCACAGCCTTGCAGAACTTATACAGGGACTCTAGGCATGTAAACTCGCTCATACGGACATACTCGTCAATGAGATCACCGGACACTCCGTATGCAAGCATTCGGATGGCGGCAGTGCATTTCTGATAAGAGAAGAAACCAATCTTGCCGACGGCATCCTCTTTGCACTCGAAGTAGTCATCATAGCCGACCACTCCCTCTCTAATACGGTTGAAAACATGCCTACTCATACGGAATCGGCGGCGGAATTTGTGATGTTTGAACAACGGGTTTCTTGTATCAAAGTAGTCCTTCCAGAGAAGGAAATGTCCGCTCTCTCGGTTACGATTCAACGCCGAAAGGTGGCCCGGAATGGAGCCACGAAATAACGGCCGCTGGTTGTTGAGGTGGTGATGGACCAACAAGGCAACCAATATCTCCTCCTCGTCGTCGGACGACGAATCATCGGAGTCGCAAATGAAATTGTGGAAAAAGAACTCGTCGGCGGAGTCCATTTTCGTACCTTAGCAAACTGTCGAACAACTTGCGGGCGTCGAAGAAGGAGACGACCGCGAGGGGGGACGCGGCGCCCACAGACCAGCTAGCTGCCCGGCTGGCGTCCGATGAGTGTGACGGCGTCCGACGAGCGTGCCGGTCGTATGTGGCGGGGGCGGCGAGGTGTCTTCTTGGTCGCGGGCGGCTGTGCGGTGGGGGAAGCGGCGGCGGAAACTAGTTTGCTCCCCGGCGGCGGCGGGCGACTAGGGGCAGGGGCGGCGTTGCTAGGCGGATGTGGAGGCGGCGGCAGCTGGAAGAGTTGCCGCAAAAATGGGCGGCGACGTCGGTGACGGAGGAGGCGGGGGCGAGGGTTGCTTGTTGGCCGGGGGGAGGGAGGCCAATGTGCCACAGACCAGCGGGCCCGAAGACAGGAGTAGGCGATCGCGCGTGCGTCCGTCGCGTGTCCGCGCGGACGCAAATCAGGCTTAAAAATGGGCCGGGAATGGGTCGCCCGCGGACGAAAAACGGACGTGCGTCCGTTTGGGTCGGCGCGTTGGGCCGCCTTTTCTGTCCGCACCGACCCAAATGGACGGCCGCGGACGAAATGGGTCGCCCCATTAAAGTTGCTCTTAACGACACAGAAGAACATCACAAAATTCAAGCTTCACAACTCAGGATCTCACATCATTATCACTCGTTCCGTACCTTTCATAACTACTCCCTCCGTTCCAAATTACTTGTCGCAGAAATGAATGTATTTAGAAATAAAATACATCTAGATATATCCATACATGTGACAAGTAATTTGAAACGGAGGGAGTAGTTTTTAGCAACCGCTCGGATTTTACAACAAAGTTCAGTGTAGTAGGAACAATCTCTCATAAAAATGGCCTTAATTTCATAAATATTTGGCAGCAAAATCTGCAATGTTTTTGTCAGATCTCCCTCCTTCCTGCATAGCCTCTTTGGCCTTCTGCATCCACTTAGAAGAATTTCTCTTATACTCTTCTCCACCCATCACCTCCTTGATGCACCTCTCCACCTCCTCCCTTCTCACCAAGCCTTTCTCGTCTCGACGCGCACGCAGGCCGATCCCCCACGCGCTCTCCACGTACTTTGCGGTGGTCGGTTGGTCCGCCCATTGCGGTATTGTGATCATGGGTACACCGGTGGCAATTGCTTCAGTTGTCGAGTTCCATCCACAATGCGTCAAGAAACAACCTGCATCATCACCACAATGGTTTGCATGCTTAGCTTTTATTCATTGTCAAATTCCACTAAGAATTGTCAGCCTTATTGCTGTATGCTCAGAAATTTGGGTTCATTTCATACCTGTGGCCTTGTGAACCAATACCTCCAGTTGAGGGCAAAATGAGACAATTAGGCCTTTCATGTTGCATTTGTCATGGAGTTCTTGGGGCAACTTATCTGCCTCGTTGGACCTCAACACCCAAAGGAAGGGCTGTCCGGAGTTGCACAATCCATGACCTAGCTCCTCTAGTTGGGTCGTCTCGAGGTTGGCGACCGTGCCATAGGATGCGAGGAGCACAGAGCAAGGAGTCTGCTTGTCGAGCCATGCCATGCACGAAGAGGTGCTCGAGACGAGGTTGAAGCCATAGGCCTTGTTCGACAGCAGGCGATCATCGTCTAGATAGAACGACGGTAATGTCGGGCCGACCGTCTTTGCACGCCATTTGAATTGCATGTAGTCAGCCTCCTGCTCAATTCCAAATTTGGCGAATCAAATTCGTGATACACAAAAGAATTTCAAGCACTGTTGGCACTCCAATATTTGAATGTCCTATGTCAGCATACCTGTTCCTGCGGCATGATTTCAGCTGGTCAAAACAACAAACAGGTGGTGGTCAGCTCACCATTGGCTCGAGGTCGCGGAAGGAGTTGACGAGCACGTGATCGGCCTGGTCCAGCCCGTCGAACTGCGACAGCGCCGATTCCGTGAACGCCGGGTACCACGCCGGCGCGGCGACGAACGGCGGCACGTCGTCGGGCCCGAGCTCCACGGAGAGCCTGCCCCGGAGCGCGCGCCCGTCCGCGAGCGGCAGCGGCACCCGCCCCGCGGAGACCTCGCCGTAGACCACGTCCACCGCGCACATCTGCGTGAAGAAGGCGGCGGCGGCCACGCCGGCCTCCCGCGCCACGCGCCGCGCCCACGGCAGGTGCGAGTCGTACACGAGCACCCGTACGTCGTCGGCGAGGAGGAGCGACGCGAGCGTGTCGGAGCCGGCGGCCTCCATGCGGCGCAGGTACTCGGCGGTGTCGGCGCACGAGGCGATGCCGCCGGCGTCGAAGCCGTCGGAGATGGCGGCCACGGGGAAGGGGCACTGGGTGGTGGGGGTGGCGGAGAGGACGTGGCGGGTGAGGACGAGGGTGGGGCGGAGGCCGAGGTAGGCGAGGCGGCGGCCGAGCTGGAGCATGGGGTTGGCGTGGCCCTGCATGCCCGGGAACGGCAGGAGCAGGACGCGGCCGCCGGCGACGGTGGTGTCTGCGCTGTCCATGGTGACTGATGAGCTGCCTGCGCACGTTCTGCTCTTCTCTCAGGACTGAGGAATTAAGTAAGTAAAAAAGTGATGCGGTGAAGTGGCGCGCAAGTTCTTCCGCTTGGATCGGGAGTGGTTGGCGGGGAATGAATGAAAAAAAAATGTTATCTTTGGAGGCGGGGATGAAGAAATGTTCAAATTCGCTTTGAATTGATGCACGTGATGCTGCGTTGGATGCTTCCTCCGTACCAATAGTAGAGGTATACGAGGCATGTCAAAATATTTTGGTACGTAGAAGAGCATCTACCGGCAAAATTGACAAATTTAACCTATGGACAAAATCAAATCACAGAATGAACTGTCCATGAAACTATTTCATGCGGCTGACCTTTTTGTGTGACGCCCGACACCAAGACGCCACACTACACTGTGCAACGCCTCATAGATAGGCGCTACATGCCTGGCCAGCGTCGCACCCGTGTAATCCGAAATTTACTAAGTCAGTGTGCCGCGCCTGAGAGCTAGGCGTTGCACTAGTGGTTGCTTTATTTTGTAGTGCAACCACTAGTGCAGCGCCTGAGAGATAGGCGCCACACTATACAGTGCAGCGCCTAGCTCTTAGGCTCTGCACAATAACTTAGCAATTTTTAGGCAGTTTGGGGTGCAACACTGGCCAGACGTGTAACGCCTATCTCTGAGGCGTTGCACAGTGTAGTGTGGCGCCTTCGTGTCGGGCGTCACACAAAAAGGTCTGCCGCGTGAAATAGTTTCACGGACAGTTCATTCTGTGATTTGATTTCGTCCAGAGGTCAAATTTGTCAAATTTGCCGCATCTACCGTCAGGGTTGCCAAATTTGGCATTGTCCGTGGACACGTCCGGCATGGGCTCGCCCCTCATATTTTCCTGTCCGCAGCCGTCTTCCTTATTTTTCACCTCTCAAATCCATACAGATTCATGCACGTAGGAACAAAGAGCATACATGGAACAGAGAAGATTCATCTACATTTCATAGGACAACCAAAAGATCAATCACATAGTATATCGTCAAACAACCAAAAGGGTAGCAAGTTCATCACATAGAGATATACACGAATTTAAGGACATGACATGATTCACCGGCGCCGTGCCGTGTCCCAACTCCCAACAAGAGAGGAACTTTGTCAAGTAAGAATCACTAAAAGAAATAAAACTATGAGGGAGTGGATGTTTGTACTGCTTTTCGGTAAGCTTCGATCAAGGTGCAAAATGGTGGTGTGAAGTTGACATTTTGGGAGGATCCTTGGTTCTACATACCCTTTGTTTGGCACTTTTTTAACTGAATTTTCTTTAGCACTGCTCTAGTCTCATAATGTTTTCTAGTGCTAGAAATGTTCCTGAACGTTAGGATATTGGAGGATATGTGCTGATGTGTTAAGCTGCAAGATTGGGCACTATATACTACATGTCCCCTTTGTGAATTCTTGATCGAAGTCGTCTTCCTCTTCCTCTACCTCTCCTTTACTTTGTTTCTTCCTCTTGGGATATAAGAAGGCCACTCTTGTGTCTAAACCTGGGCATCACTTGGGCCGGGCCAGGTTTAGGGCCGAGCTTACAAAAGCCTGAGGTAGAAAGCTCAAGCCCAAGCCAACACTTGATTCACATTTGGTCCGTCAAGCTAACTATGACTGTGAGATAGCTAGACATTGCTCCGTACTTCTTAGGGTGAATCAATAAACATATCTTTCACATCCGTCACTTTTGGTGACACATGTGCTTGTGTTTTTAAGAAAGTAAGTGAGAGTGTGATAACATTCCTAATAATTTATGTGAGTGACATATTATTGATTGGAGATGTGTAAATTTCTTGACATGAATTAAGACTTCATTGAAAAACAGGTTTTTTTAATGAAGGAATTGGGCTAGGCAGCATATGTGTTAGGCATAATAATCTATGAAGATAGAAGTGCCTAATAGGGCTAAGCCAAAATACACGTCTGCTTGGCCCAAGGTGAACATGTGCTTCAAAGCCCTATATTCAAATCTTCGTGATGCCAAACAAAAATTGCTCAAAGAAAAATGGTGGCTATGGCCACCGTCCTCCTAGTTCAAGGGGGTTGGAGCGTAATTGGTTCTTATTGGATTGTCTATATTACGGGTGGAGACGAACTCAGGTTCACCACATCCCGGCACACCTTCTCCACTACCAAGAGCATCGAATAGAAGTCCGCTACCCATCTCTGGGAATTTAAGAACCAAAACGGTCAACATAGTTTTACGAGACAAGGAGGAAGCAAAAAAACACAATTAGGACACCAATTTGGAGGAGAGGAGAGGGAAGATCCCGACAAGTAAAGAGCGAATGTCTCATATGGCCCGCCCTTTTTCTATGCTCTAGGGCAAGAGCGGGAGTGTTTAGTGGTTCCCCTAACGAATGAGCGGTCGTTATAGCGGTACTTCAAAGTCATCCTATAAGTAAAAATCGTTTTTAAGAAACAAGTCACGGACACGCTAGCGGTCACATGTACGTGTACTACTCCAAGCAACAACCTTTATTCAACTTCTAGTGGTAATAATTGTAATATAAACATAGGGTGGTGTAAACATATACGACGTGCTAGTACTAGTACCCAATGCCGATACACATGGCTATCTACCGTCTAGTGCTTAGTATAGAGCGTGACGTTGATCCATCGCGACTCCATGCAGCTGGATTGGTCATGGTGCTGCATGTAGACCCCGATCGAACTTGCAGTAGTAGGACTCGCTTGGGGTCACGCTGGTGCTGAACTTGCGCTCGCCCCGTCGACATGCACGGCCACCGTGGATGCGCCGACGTCGTGCATCACGTTGGGTCGGAACCACCGGTCGTCGATGTTGGGCTCGACGGCCGCCCCACTGTAGAAGCGCAGGACGCCGTCGTAGACGTGCAGCATCAACACTGTCGAGTGCGCGGCGCCCTCCTCGTTGTGGATCTGCATCACCGACACGCCGGAGGTCCCCGACGGCACGTAGCCGTAGCCCTGGCCGATTTGGAGCGCGTGAACTTTGAACAATAATGCATGTGCTCTGTACTTGCACGTAGCCGGACTTCGGAGCGCGGGTTGGTGTGGGTGGCGGTGTTGAAGGGCTTGTCGTTGCGATGAACCCAGAACGTCCGCACGCCGTCGCGGTACCGGAACCGCTGGTTCTCCGGCACGTTGTATGGGCTCTGCACCTGGAAGTCGCCGTCGGGGAGCTGCACTTTCTGGAACCCGGCGGTGGGGTTCCCACTGCCACCGGCCGCCGCGAGGGCATGCTGCAGGAAGGTGGTCATGGCCACGAGAAGCACTAGGAGACGAAGCCATGGGCTTGTGAGAGAAGCCATTGCTTCAACCTGTGAGGAAGAGAGGAGGAAGAGGTGGAGCACTAGGTAGCTAACTGATCTTTAGCTAGCAAGCAGAAGCTGCCTCGGTTCAGATCGATGCGGGAGAAAGAAGATTGCTCGAGAGCTTAAATAGCAATGGGTCAGTTTGAACGGAGGTGTGTGGATGCATCACGGAAGCAGCACGCGTTCACTCTGCCTGACGTCGTGCATTGGGGTGCACGGTCGGTATATACGTTGCAACTTGCAAGAACGTACGTGTACGTAGTAGCCCAGGTGTGCGATTGGACGTGCACTCCTTTTCTACCGCGCGTGCTCCCTTGGACTTGTGATTATTCATCAGGAGCCTAGCACCCTGCTCGAAACGTCACGAACAGGCTTCACGCCGGACAGGCAGCGTACGTCGCTGCACGCCATGCTGCAACATTCTTGCGTTATTTTTAGTTATTTTTGCGAAACGAACATTCTTGCGTCTTAGTTATATACTCCCTCCGTCCGGAAATACTTGTCGAAAAAATGCATAAAATTGAATGTATCTAAAACTAAAATACATCTAGATACATCCATTCTTTCAACAAGTATTTCTGGACGGAGCGAGTATACACTATTACAGGATAACACATGTTTTGCTACGCCATTCTTCGGTTCTGAAATTAACTCTAGTTTTCTCCCGAAGCTTCTTATGTCTATTCACATTTCCGCTGCTTACTGCGGAGGCGGTCGAGTAAACACGTACCCCGCGGGGTGATATTGGGTTGGTCATGTAGGGAGGTCCTTCCGATTTTGGGAATGTTTTGTTTGGTTCTTTCTTATCCAATTATTTCCATGTTTCATTTTCCCGTTCATTTATATATTTGCTTTATTTGTTAGTTTTTATATTCGTGAATGTTTTTCAAATTTATAAAAAGTTTCAACATCAAGAAACATAATTTACGTTACAGATTTGCTTTTTGAAAAAACCAAAGCGTTTTCTTATAAATTTGTGAAGAAACATAATAAGCAGTGAAGATTTTTTCCCTATTTTTGAACCTTTTAAAGAATTTAATTTTTTCTGAAAACAAATATTGACATTTAAAAAATCATGAGCATTTTTTAAAATCATGAAAAAAATTAGAATTCATGAATATATCTTTCATACTAGTGAAGAATTTTTTAAAATTTACGAACATTGTTTAACGTCAGGAATGTTTTTGCCGTCGCGGAAATTCCAAAGGATCCACGGAAGGAATTGAATTCTTGCACACAAGTTTGTGTAGCGCTAAGTTGGGTTTTGCCCAGCTTGTACCGGCTGTATCATGCACAACACGCAAGAAAATGAGGAGTCGTTTATCGGGAGCATCATTCTAAAGCACGTTACTGTCCACACACCTAGACCTAGTAGTATCAATGCAAGGGGCACTTGCTCCAGAATAAAGGGCCACGGTGATGGTGTGAGGAGAGGATCTTGCGAGAAGAAAAGAAGACTTGGAATGCATCAAAAAGTCACACACAAACTCCCATTTGTAAGGAAGTGGTCTTCCATGATGCAAGTGCATGCTCTAAGAAACAAATTATGCAACAATAAAGGTTTGTAATTCTTCCTGCTTCTAAGACTACCTCGATTTTCTCATGCTATTACTCCACAATAGTATATGTTTTAGGAGCTGTTTTACGGTGATTGGGTTAGTACTCGGAGTACTTAGCAGTACTTATACGTCTGATCACGTCTGATTTTTATTAGCCGTCAGATCTTGCGGGGAATTTTAATTGATTAAATTTAATATGTTAATTGCGATAAGGGCATAATGGTCTAGGGGGAAATATCTTTTCTTGAACCGATCACCTGAGGACCAGATCCATGTCTACTCGATCCAGTTCAGAATCCTCCTCCGATCTATTCGTCGCCGCTCGTCGCTCCTGACCTTGTCCGTCCTCGACCTGCCCGGCGGGAGGAATAAATTCATCGTCCTCGTCCTCCACCCAACCAACCCCAGCCCCCCACGCCGTCACCAAAGAAGAAGAAGGCCGGATCTGCGCCGGCTGAATCGGCGGCGACCGCGGCGGGCGATCCCATCTCTTCGTGCGTACCATCCTTAAGGTATGAATTCGGCTTGGCGTTCTGCTCGTTCTCTTGGCCGTTGCGCCCCTCCACTGTGCATGCAGTACAACCTCAACCCCACAAGATCCGGGTACGGACTAGAACAACGAATGGAAAGCTTCATCGTGGCATAGTTTCTCTTGAGCTAATCGCATCATGTTTGTTTAAGTAAGATGTTGACGTTTGAGATGAGATATACTAAAGGAAGATGAGATACTGGTTCCATAGTTCACTTAATTTAGTTTATTAAAGTCATCATCACTTTAGGTTTGCATAGCGCATGAAATATAGTTTAAAGGAAGATGAGATACTACTTGTTGGACGTTGATGATTGGTTTCCCTCACATGTCAAACCAGCAAAGTCTTTTCCATGCACTTGTCTTTGCCTATGAGCTATTTTACACTTGCAACATTGATAAACAGAAAGATGTTGATGATTGGTTTCCCTCACATGTCATATGCAGGAAGACATGGCGTATGCAAGTGATGAGAGTATGTTCGAGTATGTAAATGTTGTCAGCAAGATGTTTGATAGTGAGGCTGAAGGCTATGAATTCTACAACAAATATGCTCTTGAAAAAGGTTTTAGTGTGAGGAAAAGCTACGTTGAGTGGGATGGATCCAACAAATACATAATTTTAAGGAAAATTGTGTGTAGTCGTCAAGGGTTTCGCGAAGATAAGCACATGAAAAGAAAGATGGAAGATAGAAAGAGGAGGCCACGAAGTTTAACTCGTGTTGGGTGTAATGCTAAATTGGTCATTACGAGACAGGAGGAAACCGGTCGGTGGTTTGTCAAGGATTTCATCGATGAGCACAGCCATCCTCTAGCCCCACGGGATCTTTCTTGTTTGCTGCGTTCGCACAGACGAATTAGCGATGAGCAGAAAGCGGACATTGCGGACATGGAAAAATGTGGGATCCGCAAATACCGTATTATGGATATTTTGTGCTTTCAATACGGTGGATTTGATAAGGTTGGATGCATAAAGAGGGACATTTATAATTTCTGCCATGCTAATAAGTAGGAGACAATCAGTGTCGGTGATGCTAAAACAGTGATCATGCACATGATGGCGAGGCGAGAGCGAGATGTGGATTTTTTCTTCAAGTACTTGGTAGATGAGCATGGCCATCTGAAGGGACTGTTCTGGGCTGATAGTCAATCGCGACTTGACTACGAGGCTTTCGGAGACGTCATTGTTTTCGATAGCACATACAAAACCAACAAATACAATCTGCAATTCGTGCCTTTTGTCGGGTTGAATCACCACCGCAGCACTGTTATATTTGGCTGTGGTATAATTTCTCATGAAACAAGCCAGGCATATGAGTGGATGTTGCGGACCTTTTCTGATTGCATGGCACAGAAGCATCCGATATCTGTGATCACAAATGGGGACCTTGCAATGCAGAGAGCAATAAGAGTGGTCTGGCCAGACTCAAACCATAGACTATGTATATGGTACATTTAGCAGAACATTGTACGCCATCTGCATGATGACAACGTAAAGGAGGAATACAGATCTTTCATTTATGATACTTCTTCCATTGAAGAGCATGAGATAAAATGGATACAATTCTTACAACGGAATAAAGTAACCAGTGAGGAGTCTTGGCTGCATCAGATGTATCAGATGAGAAAGTTGTGGTGTGCTCCATATCTTGAGGGGCGTTGTTTCCTAGGATTGAGCAGCAATCAGAGGAGTGAGAGCTTGAACTCTGTGCTACATACGCATCTTGAGGGTAAGATGTCGTTGTTTGAAATGCTAGAGCACTATGAGCGTTGCCTTGCGTTGCGGCGGATTAATGAAGCTCTCCATGACGTCGAAGCCTTGCAGTCCGTTCCATTTACAGAGGAAAATGCTTCGCCGCTTGAGAAACACGCCGCAACAGTTTTCACACCTAGTGTCTTTAAGATGGTCTTATGGAGCATAGATGCTGTCAGCAAATGTCAGATTAGAGAGATACTAGATGGATTAGAAGATTCCACTTATGTTGTGTCCAAGCAGGAAAGAATGGATAAAAAGTTTGGAGTGCGCATTGAAGAGCAAGGAGGTCTTTTGCACAGGGTGAGTTGTTCTTGCCGTAAGCTGGAATGCGCAGGCACACCATGTTCCCACATTTTTTTACATATTGGGGATTTTAAAACAAGCAATTCTGCCCGGTTGTTGCGTTCCCACTAGGTGGACTATGAATGCAAAATGTGCATATGCACCTACCAGAAAAAACCAGATGTATGACTATTCGGTAAGCCTGCAGAGGTACCGCGAGTTGTGGAATTGTAGTCACGCCGCAAGTTTCCAGGCATGCCACTTTGATGAGGACTATCACCGTCTAAAGATGCTTTTGCAAGCACAACATCATGGCAAGCAATCAAGTTTTGAACAAGCTGACAGCAAGGAGTCAACTAATGCTCGGCATAACAGCATTAGGTTTGGCCCGTTGATGCCGCACTCACAGAAAGTTGATAAGGTTCTGGATCCCGTGCATGTGCCAGGACGAGGTGCACTGAAGAAAGGCTGCAGGCAAAAACAAAGAAGTCAAGATCACAAAATATTTGTGGCTATTGCAAGAAACCAGGTCACAATCAACGTAAATGCGCTAAATTGCTAGAGGTACGAAATATGTTCATATTTTTTTTGCATGTGTTTTACTCATAATTGATGTCCATGTGATTTATTGTATTCTTCTGTGTAGGATCTCGAGGCTGAACTGTGATATCTACATACATCATGAACCGACGATGAGCCAGAGAAAGTCGTGTGCCATTCAGCTTTGTGTGACGTGGTCTTTACATTCTATTTCATCGTGACAGTAATTTAGTGAAGTGCGGTTGTACTGCCATGTTACTGTATTAGTTCGACATCTTTCATTTCCATTTTCTGTGTGTATCATTTGATGTCCAACTTTAAGAATGATGATG